CCAGATAGATACAAGCGAGGATACAAGACGGAACCAGAGGACGATGGTTGTGGTCTGTTTGTATGGGTGATTTGCAATGGGATTGCATTCCGTGTGCATCATCGATATGAAGGCAAAAAAGACACAAAAAGCAAATAATAGGGTGTACAAAATATGAAAAGCCAGCTCGTCCAATGCATATCAAAACTAGTAGAAATTGTGGTTGTTTGTCAGTGTGTGTGAATGACTACAAAAAGACAAAACAAACGAAACAGGACCAAACCAAAAACGGACAGTGGTGGTCGTGATAATGAGAATGTTGTCAGATTCGGATGCCCGAATGGAAAAAAGAAAGTGTTGAGTGAAATATTCCCTGTATGGAGACAAGCTCATCCTCTGATCGAGGATAAATGCGAGTATAACAAGGAGCGGGGGTAAATGACACTTTACCAAACGGAGATGGATGTCAAGGCGCGTGCACACTGGCTCTTGATATGATTAGCTCATCTGGGACCATGAATAGGACATTGTAGTGGCGGTAGTATTGTTGAAACAAAGATGTGCACAAATGAAGTGTGGTGAAATTCGTAGAAACAAAACGAAATAGAGCCCATAAGTGACATGAGCATTTGACAGGCACGTGTACACAGGTTCCCGTGGTATCGGTTTAACTGCTGCAATTCAATCGGACAGGTACAAAAAAGAAAACAAGAAACAACAGAATACGAACATAGTTCACTGACCTTTGTTTGAGTCCAATTTGCTTTAGTCGAATTGGGTTGCGAGAAACTAGTTGGGGATGGGGGCAATTGCTTCAGTTGAAGTACAAGAGGGGTTAAAAAAGATGTAAAGTTATCAAAAATAAACCGTTAAAACCACGCTGTGATGCCGCTCTACTAAGACGGAGCTAAAAAGACCCGGAATACGACAAAAGCACAGCCATTTGAACACGGCACACAAAAGATGTGTGCGAAAAACGTAACATGGGATAGGGGACAAGGTGGGAATGCACTTATTGTGTGATGTAAGGTAAAAACAGATTGACTATTTCAAACAGACATTCAAATAGGCTGGATTCGACGGTCCAAGAGACAGAGAGAGAATCAACAGAAACATGGCGAAGAAATGCCGTTGTGTACACAAACACCGTAATCAATCAAGTCTATGCAGTCAGGCATAGAAACCGCTGGAACCGGGACCTCATGGATAGTATCCGGACCGGCGCTATGAACTAACCAAGAAATAAATGCAAAAGACAGGCCGGAAAAGCGAAGGCGTCAGTGTGGGGATAAGTGTGTGTCGATAAGTGCCGGGTAGCGAGATGAGTTTAGTGTTTCTCAGAAACGAGAGCGCACGGAACCGAATGGACGTCATATGTATCCACTTGAAAGAAAATGTGCGCACACTAGAGCTAATCCCTCTGTATGATCAACGGATCTCCAAATATGTTTAGACTAAATTACTGGCATCTGTTTGTTTAGTGTTCTGCATTAGGGAGGTTGGAATTCGAGAGCCTTGCATAATACCCAACAACTGGTCGAGCGTAGCTCGACGACGCATTCCGGCAGCACGCAATTCATCCGCTAAATGTGTGACCATATCGGTTAGTCGCATGTGTACAGTTTCTTCGTCGCGCAGGCGCTCCACAACTCCGGCCAATTCGCTTCCTGGTGGCAACCGGTCCACGGAACTACCGGCTTCTGTAAGGGAAGCTGAAACTACAGGAAGGAGAATGTGGTGTGGGTTTTCGGTAGAGTTCAAGCCGTTTAACAGAGTGGAGGCCAGGGATAGACTCGATATAGTCCCATTATTAGTATTGTTTGCGAGACAATTCACACCATTGGTTAGACCCTGTCCGTTTGTATGCGCTGCAGCTGTACTGACCGTAACCTTTGGAGTGCTCGAAGCGGGGTGATGCGCCGGTTCATCCATAGGTGGCGATTCGCTATCCTGAGGACGTTGTTGCTGTTGCTGCTGACGCAATAAATCAGTGAACAACTGTGATTGAACTAGGAGAGCTGCAGCTGCCGGGTTGAAGAAGAAGGGAAATCCGGTTCCAGGTTGGTTGGCTTTGAGATCGCCTGTTGAAGACGGGATAATGGTAGAATAATCATGCGGATCGTTGTCCGACGCGAGATTGGTGAACAGAGCTGCACCCGGTGCACAATTGGTCTCCATGCTTTCACAGTTTGTGTTTCCAATCCCTTTAAGCTTATTGATACCGTTTGGTGTGCCAGTATGATGAAACCCGGGATTCAGTGAGTGCGGAGTTCCCGGAGGCATTAGGTAACGTGGAGAATCCGGTGCGTGCAATGCTGTCGGTAAATTCACTCGACAATTTAACTGACCGGATCCGATTGGAGTGGACGGCGCAGATTTACCGCCGTTTCGTTCACCACTAACTTGCATAGTAGTTGCATCGATATTTGGATAAATGACTAGGATCAAGCGGGCTACACGGCGTAAAATATCCGCATTTCGGACGGCCTTTTGAGGATTATTGACTAACAGGCGCACATCTCGTCGCAAATTTTTCCATTTGTTATAGCAATGCTCCATTGTGAACCCTAGTGCTTCCATTTCCGCTCCAATTGTCTGCCATACTTGTTTGTGCTTCTTCTGAATGTTGAACTCATCCAAGTGCTTCTCCACGCAGTCTAACAAAGTTTGCACATTCTGGTTAGACCAGTGAACTTTCTTCTCAGAGGAATCAGCAGGGTGCCGCGGACTATCTACGACCAAAGCAAATGAGCGTGTTTGTTCGATATCGTCATCATCATCATCCTCCGGAAGCATAGTGACATCGGCCGGCGTTTCGTGTTCCTCATGCCTGTCGGTAGAAATCGTTCGTGTCGGATACTTCATCTGTCGAACTTCATGGTCTATGGGATCATCCTCTTCATCTTCAACGTCTTCAGGAAAACTGGGACTGGATTTCTCTGGGCTCTTGGGCATATAAGTCATATGATCCATGGACTGAAACAACAAAGAAAAATGGATTGAATAGCGGACCGAGAAAGTATTGAAGTTTAGGTATAAAAGCAGTTAGATGAACATGGCATTGACATGCTCGAACTGGAGCTTAGGGCCACAGAAGTGGTATGCATTTTGTGGCATACATATGTATACGTGAGAGAGAAGTTTTTGCATCGAAATTGTGAGCTGACATAAACTTAATCTCATGTAAAAAGTCCTATAACCATTGAATATAGAGCCATAGGATGTTGGGTTCAGTTCAGTTTTTGCAACCATTAACCTGGCACTTTCGTGCGCTGGTTTTGGTTGTTGTCTTTTGGCCGCTCATTTGGATAAAAGAGCAAGATAAACATTGGAATGTT